GATCCCGTCCAGGGGTTACACCAAGCGTAGTCCCCCGCACCACGATGAGCACGACCAGGAGAGAAGGAGGGGCGTTGCCGGACGAAGGAACGAGAGGAATTTTGACGCGGTATTGAGTCCCAATCGACCTCCTCTATTTTATCGAGGAGAGAATGCAGTTCGGTGTCTGCATCAGCACCGCCCAGGGGAATCGAATAATCGAGGGGTCGCATAAGGCTGATGAGCTGGGGAGGCAAGTACCACAACCTCCAGCAGTCGTAGGTCTCCCACAGGAGGGTCACTGCCACTTTGGTACACCACTCTGTGAGGAAGACTACCCAAAGGCCGTGTCGAGGATCACGTAAACACCTTCCGTAATACGTGTACACAGGGCTGAGCTCAGCCCAAAAGCCTTGGCAGACCTCAAATTGGCTCCACCACGACGGAATACGTTGATAACGATTCGCGTAATGGGACCTCGAGATTTCGCGCGCCTCCAACATCTGGTAGGCCACAAAATAACCCGTTTCAGACCAAATACGGCTTGCTGGAAGAATGGGATGGTACCCCGCTTGATAAGTCGGAAATTAGCCGGAATTATGGCGCTGGTCCACATCATAGCGTCGCCCGAGACGGTCCCTTGGTTGAACCAAAGGCGGTTAGCTTCACGAGGAGGGTTATCGGAGGTCCAGGCCAGCATGTTATCGAGGTAAGACCGCTCGCTCTCGGTGCGAAATTGCCACGTGTCACAACCGAATTCCTCAGGGATGAGATCCTGCGTCAATGGCAGCTCAAGTCTGTCACACACAGCGGTCATGAAGCGGGTCGTGTAGTATAACCCCCCTTACCAGAATTAGATATACATCAGATCGGCTACTGTAGAGCCCGAGCTCTACAGTACCTCCGCACGCGCCCACACGTGTACGGGGCGCGCACGCACACGTGTGCTAATACGTGTAACACACGTATACAGTCAGCACGGGCCGACCCGCGCTGACTACAGTAGCACTACAGTACAGTCCGTACTGTACTGTAGTATGATTGGATTAACTTGAACATTAAATACGCGAGCGACCGACGGCGGTGGGGGGAGGACAAGCACGAGATTGTCCAGAACCTACGCCTTTGGTCAAGCTCACCCCGCTTATTCTAGAACGGGTTCCCACTAGCCCGTATCTAGTTAGGAACCGAGCGGGCAGGGGACGCGCGAGCACGCGAGCGAGCCTAGATCCGCCTCCGCCCGTCAGAGCTGGTACGTCACCCAGCGCTGCGCCGGGGCGTCGAGGCGTAGATCGCCCCGCGCGTGCGCGCGTCCCCGACCGTTACCTGACCTACCACTGCTACCCCGGGCTCGCCCGGTTCCCTTAGCTGGGTTGCTTCCCCTCTTCCCGCCGATCGAGGTCTCCGCACGAACTGAGTATACACCCCCCTCCGTTGGGGGTGTTTATACTACAGTGGTCTCCTGACCTAGAAGACTCTACGATCGTTCCGAGAAGACGGCCGATTTCCCCCGCGTCCGTATGCGTCGAGATGAGCGAAGGGTCCGAACCCTCGGTCCACTCCGCACCGACCGATATGCAGGCGTCCGCGCTACGCGTCCGATCGGACGACGGCGCCGCAGGTCCTCGGGATCGCGAACCGTCGCCGGACTACTCAGAAGGACGCGCGCGCGCGATGTACAAACGCATCGCGGAGTATATCGAGGATGTCCGGACATCCCTTCGTGTCGACGTGACCGACCAGGTCTACGCCCGCTGTCCTGACGATTCGCGCTCCCTCCACGAAGGAAAGTTTGAGCGCGTGACTCAGTCCTGGGACAGCCTGCGCGCGCTCGCCGACCAGTTGCACTCCGTCTAGTGTTGGTCGAGGACGCGCGCATCGAGGCCCCTACGGCGGACGTTGCAGATCGACCCGCGAGTACGAACTCCGGGGTACGACGGGACACGCAGCCTTCCCCATCTGCCGAACAGATGGGAGCGTTCGCGCATACGGCTGCGGAACTCAACTCGACGCGCCGGCGCGCTCGTGAGTTAGAACACGACTCGGCCGTAAGGTCGCCAGGAGTCCCCCCGAGAGGGCCCGGTGCCACTGTTCCTCCGGGCGCGTCCGATGCGCAGGAGTGTCCTCCGACTGGTGCCGTCACCAGTCGGAGCGCGGAGGATATCAAACAAACGGCGGACGCGAACTTCGCGTCCGAGACTCAAGCTCTGCCGCATGCCCCCGGAAGCATGCGGCAGTTGCGACAGGTACCGTACGGGCACGACCAGGACCGTGGAGGAGCCGCTCGCGGATCCGGAGAACCCATGCTCTCCGTAGATCCTCGCTGGGGCGGCTACCCGCCGGTGGATTACACCGCGCACCCCGGTCCGGTAGACGTACGTACACTACCTGTCACCCCGTCAGGCGCGTTCGTAAGATGGAACAGGCATCGGCCGAAAGGTCGCCCGGAGCCCCTCCGAGAGGGCCCGGTGCCACTGTACCTCGAACGCGCCCGATGCGCAAGAAGGGAGCCGGACTGGTGCCGACACCAGTCCGGTCACTGGGCAGCGCAGCCCCAAGACGGACGCTAATTTCGCGTCCGAGACCCAAGCCCTACCGCATGTCGCCGGAGACATGCGGTAGATGACACGCGTACCGTACGTGGACGACAAAAGACGCGGAGATACCGCCCGCAGATCAAGAGAACCGATTCTCTCTTTCGATCCCGGCTGCGGCGGCTATCAGCCGGTGGATCTCACCGCGCACACCGGTCTGGTAGACGTCCGTACGCTACACGAATTCTTAAGGGAACTAGCCCCTGCGACCCGGGCTGCAGTGGCTGAGACGGTCCAATGATTGCCCGGACAACAGAAGACAGACCTTCCAACGATCCGCCGTATCGCGACGGCGGGAGGCACAACGCGCCGCGCTCGGCGCGGTTTGCCTCTGCCGGATCCGAAACCGGCAGCAAGGGGGAATCGAACCCCGAGGTCGCATGCAACAAGTTCGCCTGCGGCATCCCTCCACATAGGAGAACATGAGGAGCAGGCCGACCCTGTCCTCATTACGCGAAGCTACAAGCCCGTGGGAGGCCGATCTCCCACGCCAGCGTCATCAAGGTCGACCGGACGCTTCGCTACCGCGTACGCCCACACTCCAGGGGCGCCCGGTGGTACGGACCACCGGGTCGCGGAGCTCGACATCTCGCATCGAGATGGAGGCGGCGCTCCGCCTCGCGTGCCCCACCTCACCGATGAGGAGGCACGCCCCACAAGAACCCACTGATAACCCCGTGGGTCCGGTGGCGACCACCATCCGCGAAGAACGCGAAGGCGCCCAGGATTCCGTAAGCCCGGCGCGTGTTACCGTAAGAGAAGACACCCTGACCTCCGTAGGTCAGATGCCACGGACCGACCGTAAAGGCACAGGGGCTTCAGTAAGCCCCGTGCACAAGATAGAGCGTCAGGCGTGTGCCGATGCAACACGCCCCGAAAATCCTACCGAACGCCCTGTCGCCGAGGGGATCTCACATGCGCTACACCTCACCGACTTGACCGATTTAGCCGGGGAGGCAGAAGCTAGTCGACCTAGTTCCGCAAAGAGGACACTCGTCGAGAAGGCAGGGATCGGTACGGACGACCCCCGGCCAAGTGCCCGCCGCCGACGGAAGGCACTCGAACCATCACGATCGATCGTGATGGTGTCACCGAACGCGTCTCCGCAGACCGCTGCGTGTACGCGCCACCGCCGACGGACGTGCCACGGGCGAGTACAACAACCCCGGGGGACCTTGCCGACAAGGTCACCGAGGACACGCAGTACGCTGTCGAGCGACTACTCCGGCATCGGGCCATGGAGGACGGAACTACGGAGTTCCTCATCAAGTGGGCGGATTACGACACGCCCACCTGGACCACACGGACTCACGTCCCGGAGGAGTTGGTGTCTCGTTACGCCCAACGCCTCCGGAGGCGCACCGGCAGGGACCTCACCTTGGACGTGAACGCGGTCGTTCACGCTTAAGGGGGGCCCTCAACCGTCTCGCTCGGCTACATTCAACCGCTCCGTTGCGGTTAAAGTAGTCCCTTGCGGTTAGAGACCAACGGTACGTTCGGAAGGCAAGCCGTATTTGACTTCCGAACGCCACGGACTCGAGACGTAGCGACAAGGCAGTACGGACTGCCTGTACGAAGAACGGTCCGTGTAATGTCCAACGATAAGAGGACGACAGACGGCTCGAGGGGAAGGCAATTACCCCCTTTCGGAGCCGGAAGGTCGGACGCGCCCCCCCCCCCGAAACATGGTCGCCGGACGTTCCGTTAAGGCCGTCAACCGCGGCGAGGGGACGTCTGACGAACGACGCCATCACCTCCATACGGCAAGGGAGCCCCGGAACGCAGAAGGGGTTAGTCAAGACAAGGCGTTGCAATTTGCCGAGAGGAGCTGCAACGCGTGTGTAGTGCAATGCACCTGTCGGGCAGAGACCGCGGTCCGATGGTCCAGCAAAAACAACAACAGCAACAAAAAGAAGAAATGCCGATGCCACAGCGCTACGGAGTGTCCGACTCTCCGTTTTCCGTTTAAACGAGCTTGCGACTCGTAGTAGCTCAGATCCCTGATGGCGGGGGGCACAGAGAAATAGCCCGGCCCGGGATCGGTGTGGTACAGACTTGCGAAGAGAACTGCTCGACGAGTGTGGGGTAGGGCGCGCACGTAGATACCCCGGTTCCACTGGGTTGTAAGGCCAATGCTCGTTGAGCTTCTTCGACACCTTGTAACGCGACAAGGCCTTCGACGGGGGCGTCGCAACGCAGCCCGACGGGATGAAATGACATAATCGGATTGGTCTACTTCTTTTCTCGATCTGTTTATCGAAGATTGTGCTCTCACTGCCGTCCAAATCCGTAAGTACCACAAGTAAGGCGAGCGAGTCAACGGGGGCTGATTCATTCTTGCTTGAAATCGCAGCAAATGATACGGCATCGCTTCGGAATGTTGTATCCTTACTCGGTGACGTCGAGAGGAACACACCCACCGTTAAATTATTTTTTGCTGGCTTCAGAAGTTGAAAGCAAAGAAACTAACACGCCAAAAAAAACAGCAAACACTCTAACTAAAGAAATAGAAACGATCGCAAATTCTCGCTGCTTTACCATGTACAAATCTCTGTAACTTGGAGTCATTCGCTTATTCTGTCAGTGCCACTCGTTTCTCTTTGCTGATCGATGGAAGTATCCGTACTCTAAAGCGCAATAGATCGCGCTCAGTCACAGGCCTGAAGGAAGTAGGCCGTCTCCGCATCGGCCGTTGAAGAGAAACACAGGGAACAGGGCTCTGAGGTGATTAAATTGTACTGGGGTAAAGCATGACGCGAACGCCCTTTCCGATGGAATTCGGTGGCAACTGATTGCGGAATTTCGCGCGTACGTGACCGTTGTTTCCGTGCGGGGCAATAATGCGGCCCCACATAACGCGATACTTTCTCGAGGCGCCGCTCGGAGTCTTCTTCTCGACTAGACCTTTGTAGACGTAAGCTACTCGCTTACACATGTGGAACTGGGCATCCTTGCGATCCGATCCTTGACGCCGTCGATTAGAAGGCGTGACTGGCCACACTGCTGGTTACGTAGATTACGCTTGTAACCAAGATGTATTCCCTTGGAATGTAACCTTACGGTGTTCGTCATTGTGATAGTTGAGATGGGCGAAATGAAGCACCGACGGTTTCAAGTGTGAGTGCCGGAAAGCTATAAGCAACATGCCGGTGCGACACAGGAGGCAGAGATATTTTCATGCTTTAATCGCACCCGTCTTCTTTCATGAAATCATGAAGGTAGAGAACACGCCCCCAAAGCCTCCTTCTCTTCTTCCTCCTGCCATTCACTATCGGGATACCCTATTGATCAGTGCACCGAAGCCTTTTCTGTTTCCCAGAGTTCATAGACAGGTTCACGATGAGCCTGAAGACCCCTGCCATTTACCAAGAAAAAGCGTTTGTGATTGTGCGGGAAGAAGTCGAGCCACGACTGACCAACGTCATAAATACGTCACTTTTGGCACACGGGAGTGATACGGATAGCAACTTAAACTAGCAGTCTAAGCTTCTCTTTGCAGTTTCGCCCTAGGCTCCTTCCTACCTAATGTACACTGACGCTTTGTATGATAATCCAGATCAAAAATGATGAACTATTGCAGTTGTCCTATCCCTCCAGCCGATTAGTCACTTATTCTAAATTTCACAAGCATGACTACAGTCCATGGGCAACTTCATCAGAACCAATCTGGAATGACTTGCACTTCCGCTCTGCAATAAACTTCATATTCTAATTACAAGAGAAACAAACATGCCCATTTTCCACAAGCATTATCAGCCTTGTAATGTCATCTGCATAAATGCAAATAGACTCATGGTGCTTCTACTCTAGTGCTGGCGCGAAGTGTGGGGAGTGCCTCGTGCGTATTTGATGGTGGATGGAGAGGGGCTACGCATGAGCATACAAGGATGTGCAGTGCCGCAACATCATCACCCAAACACGTGCCAATGCCTGTGAAAACCGAGCAAGGTTACCCTACCCCTATACCACGTCTGCCCTCAGTTACATATTGGCTATAATAGCTCCGTCCCGCACCAGGCTGGGATGAAGCGCCACTGCTTCTCCTTCTCCATGCCCCTGCATTGCGCACTACAACAGCCTCGAAGCTCTCTCTGCATCCATCGCAAAACCCGTCCCCTCCGTCCCGCAGTAGGAGCGTCATGCCGAGCATAGCATCGTGATCTTGGCACATCTGGATCGCACGCTCGTACAACTCGGCGCCGCGGCCCGCGTTGGTTCGCACGACCTCCGCGCGTCGTATTTGCATGTCGCAAAGCCTCACCATCGCCCCGGCATCTCCGTGCCCTTCCACCGCAAGTTCAAACAGCTTCACAGATTTCACCGCACCCAAGGTTGCTCATAGCGTCACCATCATTGCCTTTCTCGACCCGCAATCTTACAACTCCACACTACGATCTATATTTCTCTCGACTCCCTCGATGCCTCCCTCCATCAGAACACCAAGTGGGACTATCGATTCGATACCATCGTGCTCAATCGCGCTCGGTACTTCGGTCCCCCAAAATTTAATGGCGTTTTTCAAAGTAAAACGTGCGTGATTTCTTTGTCCTGCGGGTGGCCCCTGTCTTGTTGGCGAGCTCCGATTGGATGCTGCCTGTCTTGTTGACGAGCTCCGGCCTCCACCTCTGGAAAGAAGAGTCAAAAGAGCAAGAGACAACTTTCCAATGATGAGACCAAGAAACCAACCCGTCAACCTTCTTCATTTCGCCACGGCTCCGCCATCTCCTCGAATATTTCAGGAAGTCCTGGTTCACCCCCAGCCGCGAAATGTCTTGAACAGAATGAGGCTGCTGCAAAAGGAGCGGCAGGCCATCGCGCCAGTCGTGCCAAGGTCATGAAAGAGTGCAAGGCCAGCGCGATGGTGTCGGGGATGAGATCCAAATCGCCAAGCCCTGTTCAGGGCGAGGAATCGAACGAATCATTCAACTCAACTCGTGCAAGGCGGGAGGGCGAAGTCTGTAGAAGAAACAAGGGCGACAGAAGTGCACGGGCAGACTCGGTGAAGTCCAAGGACTCGCAAACGCGACAGTCTAAGGTCGGACCCATTGCCCAGAATTCTACTACGAAGAGGAGATCAAGTGGTTCGACTGAGACCCGGCCCGCCAAACGTCCGAAACGTCGGGATCAGTCTGCTGTTTCTGGCAAGCAGAAGACCTATGTTTAGTTCCGGCGTCAGTTCCCGCGGGACGATACGTTTTTGGCACATGTCAGGATCGATACGTAATGACAAAAAACGTATCGTCCAGGCCTGATTCGACGTATGTGCGATTTTGGTACTGTCTACGGTATATGGCCCAAAACGTATCGTGCCGGGCGGTTTTAACGGCGACAGTTTTCTGGTGGGACGATACGTTTTAGGCCGATTTACACGGCGGCACCCCCATACGCGCTGTATTGGCAACATTGCTGTTGGGAATTTCTGACTAAAATTTTGCCGACGGCGGCGCACAGCCAATAAAATGTCAGTGCGCAAAATTTAGTTTTTGCCGTGTGCGATTAGAGGCGCATGAGCAATATTATTAACTTCATATTTTATCACGTACCGTGTCCCTCGTCTGGCAAGATTGTCAGATGCCCAAAACGTATCGTGCTGGGTGGGGCAATTACAGCAGGCAGATTTAGTGGCAGGGCCTTATACTGCACTGACGGCGTCGCAGTGCGCATGTACGAGTTACACAATAAGGCGGCGTAATTTATGTCCTGAACATCAAAGCTTTCTAAGTTATTTACTGCGCGAAATTGAAAAACGCCGTATGCAGGTTTCGATGATCGTTGCCTCAACGACGCATTTTGGACGGGTGTGTCAGAGATGCGTTGGGGAGGGATGCGCGCACGATGCGTTCTGGAGAGGTGCGTCTAGGATGCGAGCTGAGGGGGTGCGAGAATGATGCGTTGGAAGGGGTGCCAGAATGCTACGTTGGAGAGGGGTGCGCTCGTGATGTGTTCTATAGGGGTGCGCTCATCATTCGTTTTAGAGGGATGCCAGAATGATACGTTCGAGAGGGATGCGCCCACGACGCGTTCTAAGGGGGTGCGAGATTGATGCGTTCGGGAGGGGTGCGCCCATGATGCGGTCTGGAGGGGCGCGAGAACAATGCATTTTAGAAGGGTGCGAGAATGATACGTTCGGGAGGGGTGCGCCCACGATGCGTTCTGAAGGGGTGCCAGAATGATACGTTCGAGAGGGGTGCGCCCATGATGCGTTCTGGAGGGGCGCGAGAACGATGCGTTTTAGAAGGGTGTGAGAATGATACTTTGGAGAGGGCTACTCGCAAGACGCGTCCTGCGAGGGGCCTGAACGGTGCGTTTGCATGTTTCTTTTCTGTTTCAGCTACTTCTGTAGTAGATGGCCGTTACGAAAGCACAAGTGTAAATTTTGTGGGGTTGTTTGTGTAGTGGAGAAACAGCGAAACGGCACAATTGGTGAGCATAGCAGTTGGATATGGCGCGACGTAGAAGATGTATAAATGAATGATTCAACAAAAACGGCGGGTAGTGATCGCACGGGCACATAGAATTGTGAGGATCGCTGTGACATGTGAATGGTTCCGTTTTCGAGAAGATTGAAGCTTTCTATCGTTGAGAGTTTATTGAAAATGTGGTCCTAATACTGCAGTATGTGGATAACGAAAACTACAGGCAGTCCAGTTGGAGAAGACCTTGATGTATGGCCCAAGCCAGTGGGAGCCATATTGTCAGAGGCATATCGTCGTTATTCTCGTCACCGGACTCTATGGATGCATCCGAGAAGATGACGGCTAAGTCCTTCTCGGTGACCCGGGCCGGGCGGTCACGGAGAACAGAGTTGAAGCGGCAAAGGATTTCGGAAGGGAACAGGTTTTCAGCGATCTGTTGCTGGAAAGACTTCATTCGCCAAAGGTTCCAGGCGAGTGATATCATAGGACGTAGATTGCAACGACCGTATTGGCCGAATGTGGGGTGAAGTGGTTGGCCAAGGCAGTGCGAGAGGCGGCAATCATAGCACTTGAGAGGGACTTTTCTTGGGGCGGTGCAAGACGGGACGAAATGGGTCGTAGAGAAACAGGCATAGCAGCTTCTTTCCATGAATGGACAGTCATTCTGAGGATGTTCCGTACCGGAACGGCGGGGAGAAGCGTGGCATTAGAGACACGTCGTCTTGGTTAGGAAGAGGAATTGAGTTACTAAATGAACCGTGGATTCGGTGTCAATTGCTTGGAAGTGACTAAATGGCAACGATAAGGGAGGTGACGGGGAAAGGAAACGGTTTGTGAGAATATTAGGTTGGGTTTGGCGCGCCATACTGGGAGAAGTTCGTAAGCTCTTGAATGAATTTCTTCCCGATGGTGGAAGTGATGCGGGCCGTTTGCCCGAAAGGACTTGCTTCAAAGATGGTGACGCCGTCGTAAGTGACCGTGGACGGACTGGAAATGGTGCTTGCTGCATTGAAGGTGATGCTGAAGGCAGCAAACTTTCACTTGATTGTTGTGGGGAGAAGCTAAGGATTCTTCGAACTGGAGGGGCTGGAGGGGGATTGGTTGGAACGGATTGCTCAAGCAAGAGAAGCATTTCATCGAAGTTGTGCTGCG